TACCCAAAATATATAAACAGCTCACACAACTCAGTATCAAAAAGAAACAAACAACAAAAACAAAAACCAAACAACCTGATTAAACAATGGGCAGAATACATGAATGGGCAGTTTTCAAAAGAAGATATACAGATGGTTAATAGGCACATGAAAAGATGTTCAACATTGCTAATCATCAGAGAAATGCAAATCAAAACCAAAATGAGATAGCACCTCACATCTGTCAGAACAGCTATCATCGAAACGCCTACAAATAACAAATGTTGGCAAGGATGTGGAGAAAAGGGAACCCTAGCACACTTCTGGTGGGAATGTAAATTGGTGCAGCCACTACGGAAAACAGTATGGAGGTTCCTCAAAAAACTAAAAATAGATCTACCATATGATCCAGCAATTCCACTCCTGGGTATACAACCAAAGAAAACAAGAAAAGATACATACACCCCAATGTTTATAGCGGCATTATTTATAATAGCTAAGATACAGAATGGAATATAATTCAGCCATAAAAAATAATGAAATTCTGCCATTTGCAGCAACATGGATGGACCTGGAGAATATTATGTTAAGTGAAATTAGTCAGACAGAGAAAAACAAATACTGCGTGTTATCGCATATATGTGGAATCTAAAGAATAAAACAAAGAATATATATAACAAAACAGAAACAGATTCATAAATATAGAGATCAAACTAGTTATTACCAGTGAGAGGGAAAGGGGAAGGGGTAAGATAGACATAGGGGATTAAGAGGCATAAACTACTATGTATAAAATAAATAAGCTATAAGGATATATTGTACAGTACAGGGAATATAGCCAGTATTTATAATAACTTTAAATGGAGTATAATCTATAAAAAATTGAATCACTGTGTTGTACACCTGAAATTAATGTAGTATTGTAAATCAACTATACATCAATAAAAATTTTAAAAATAAAAACATTCTTCCGAATAAAATGAATAAATAAATAAATAGGAAGGTTGTTGAAGGAATAAAGTTAAATAAAATCTTTTATTTTTATAATTTTCAATTGATCTAAAAATTAACTTGTTTCACGTAATAAGGGTAACAATGTAGCATGATTACAACAGATGAATAGTGAAATGAATGACAGCAAAGGTATAAAAGGATTATAGGTATAAAAGGTATCAAAGGTATAAAAACTTCAACAATGAAAATAAAAATACAACATATCAAAAATTTTGAGACATAGTAAAGCAGTGCTGACAGAGAAATTAATAGCTTTAAATGCTTAAGTTAGAAAATAGGAAAGGTCTTAAATCAATACTCTAAGTTTCTACCCTAACCTCCCCCTCCAAAAAAAAAAAAAAAAAAAAAAAAAGAGCAAAATAAATCCAAAGCTAGTAGGAGGAAGTAAAGAAGAGAAACCAATGAAATTAAAACCTTCACTAGGATTAACAAGATCGATAAAATTGATAAATCTCTAGCAAGACTGACAAAGATTAAAAAAAGGAAAACACAAATTAATATAAGAAATGAAACAGGTGATATTAATACATATTCTGCAGTCATTAAAAAGATATAAGGGAATACCTTAAACAACTTCACACTAATAAATTTGCCAACTGAGAACAGGCGAATCCCTTGAAAACCACAAACTACCAAAACTCAACCAAGATAAAACAGCCCACCTGAATAGTCCTATAACTATTAAAGAAATTGAGTCTGTAATTAAAAACGAGAAATTTCCAGGTCCACCCATATTGTTTCACTGGATAATTCTATCAAACACTTAAAGAAGTACTAAGAGGAATTTTTACACTGTCTCTTTCAGAAAAATAGGAGAGGAGGAACACTTCCCAGCTCATTTTATGTGGCCAGTATTACTCCGACTCTAAAACCAGACAAAGAGTACAAAACCAGAAAACTACAGACCAATATCTCTCATGAACAGAGATATAAAAATCCTCAAGAAAGTATTAACAAATTAAATACAGAAATGTATTATAAAAAGAACTATACACTCCAATCAAGTGGGAGTTATTCTGGGTATGTAAAGCTGGTTCAATATTTGAAAATCAATGTCATCCAATACATCAACAGGTTAACAAAAAAAAATTAGTATGATATCAATGAACTCAAAAAGTATTTAACCAAAGACAACATCCATTCATGATTAAAAAAAAAAAACTCTCAGCAAACCAGGAATAAAGGGGATCTTTCTCAATTTGATAAATATTTGATAAAACCTACTGCTTACATCATACAAAATGTCCATACAAAATGGACAGTGATGTCCATTTTCACCACCTTAGTCAATAAAGCAAGAAAAAGAAATAAAAGGCATACAGACTGGAAAGGAAGAAATAAAAACTATTCCTACTTTCAGATGACATGTCTACATGGAAAATGCCAAGGAATCTATAAAAAATACTCCTAGACTCTTAAGCAAATTCAGCAAGGTTGCAAGCAATCAGATCAAAATATAAAAATTAGTCATATTTCTGTATACTAACAATAAACACATGGAAACTGAATTTTTAAAATATAATATCATTTATAATCACACAAAGAAAGTGACATACTTGGGTATAAACTTAAAACATTTAAGGATGCTTAAAATTATTAAATGCTGATGAAAGAAATAAAAGAATACCTAAATAAATGGAGAGACATACTGTGTTCATGCACTGGAAGACTCAGAAATAGTAAAGATGTCAATTCTCTCCAAACTAATCTATAGATTAAATGCAATTCTTATCAAAATCCAGCACAAAATCCAGCTTATCTTTGTTCTTTGGAAACAAAGATAAGCTTATTCTAAAACTTCTACAGAAAAGCAAAGACCTTAGAATAGTTAAGACAATCTTGAAAGAGAAGATTAAAGTGAAAGTATCACTTCACCTGCTATTAAGGCCTACTATATAACTACAGTAATCAAGACAGTTTGGTACTGACTGAGAGAAAGACACAGATCAATGAAATTGAAGAGAACATAAGAGAATATCTTCATGACCTTGGCAGTAGGTAAAGATTTCTTAGGACACAAAAAGCACTAGCTATAAAATTAAAATGGATAAACTTGACTTGATCAAAATTAAAACTTTCTACTTTGCAAATTATACTCGTAAGAAAATGAAAAGGCAGGCATCAATTTTGAGATTTTTCTTAACTCAGGAAGTTATGTGAATTTTAAGTTATTAGATACTTTGTATTACCTTACTTTAAAAAAAAAAAAACTAAAGTTGGTTAGAACCCTAGTTCAGATAATTTGCTACACCAGAATATATATGGTTGTATAAATAACAACTGAAATGAAACTCAGGCACAAAATGATCTTAAAAGGCAAGTGCAATTTTGAGGATCAGCTACCTAAACTTATTTCTTCCTGTTTTTTTAAAAGGTAATTATGTTAACTGAAAAATCATTCATAGAAGTGATGCACTTCATACCACAGCCATTTAATTAAAAATTAAGGTTCTAAGCAAAAAAATCCAATTCCATAAAGATATGGGATTGTTATTCACTGATGCATACTGCTCACTGGATCATCATTAACTCCTTATGATGCTCAAGGGGGTAGGGTGGGTAACATGGAGGTGTCATATTTGTGCTACAAAGAAATCCCAAGCCTGTGTATTTATTTATTTAAAAAAAACTTTTTATTTTATATTGGAGTATAGTTGATTAACAATGTTGTGTTACTTTCAGGTGTACAGCAGTGATTCAGTTATACATATACATGTATCTATTCTTTCTCAAATTCCTTCCTGTATCTATTCTTTTTCAAATTCTTTTCCCATTTAGGTTGTTACATAATGTTGAGCAGAGTTCCCTGTGCTTTACAACAGGTCCCTGTTGGTTACCCATTTTAAATATAGCAGTGTGTACATGTCAATCCCAAACTCCCTAACTATCCCCTCCCCAGTGGTAACCATAAGTTCCTTCTCTAAGTCTGTTTGTGTTTTGTATATAAGTTCATTTGTATCATTTCTTTTCAGATTCTACACATAAGCGATATAATACAATATTTCTCTTTCTCTGTCTGACTTACTTCACTCAGTATGACAATCTCTAGGTCCATCCGTGTTGCTGCAAATGGCATTATTTCATTCTTTTCAATGGCTGAGTAATATGTGTACTTATTTACTTTTGGGAAACTCATCTAAGAGCATACTGTATCTGCTTGCTTCATTAATGATCTAAGTTGTTACAAGTACGTCAACAAATCTACTGCCTTAACAATGCATTTGTGTTGGTTAGGTCCTTTAAAAATACAGAACTGTGGAACCAGAGACATGATAGTTTCAGGGGAGAAACTTTTAGCTAAGCAATAAACTCTAGAATTAGGAAACAGATGCTGATAAATTCTACAAAGAACATCAGACATGACATTTGTTGCTTTAGAATCTCTGAGCATACTTATAGGCAAGGCAGAAGAAAGAGCATTTCAGCTTAGTTTTAAAATAAATACCATTATTTTTAAGAAAAAAATCACAATGTTGTTGCATATATTGGAGCCCACAAAAATCGTAAGAAATGTGGTGTTTTCTTTATAAACCTATTTTCTGATTAGAAACAAAAAGCATATCCTTGACTCATACAGAAATTCAAGCCAGAAGAAAAATAATATTAGAAAGAATCGATCAGATGAAATCCCAAGCCTGTGAACATATTACCATGTAAGAGAATTATGTGAGAATCATCTAATAACATATGGTATTTCTTGTTACATTTATGGTTAATGACTGTCTCTCATGGGAAGATTCTGTGTGCAGAACCAAAGACTTAAATATACACATGCTTCTCTACTAGATCTGCCCATGCCCTAGAACTTTACGGGTGAGATATGTATGGGAAAAGAAGTATCAGGTGGTTTGGTCATAACTGAACCCCTAATACCTAGTAGAGAGTTTGGCACCCAGCAGATGGTCAGTACATGATTGTTTAGTGATACAATGAGAAAGAAAAAGTTAAGAACAATTTACTTAAATTTGTTGAGGAGTATTTTACCCGTGCAAAATTGCATAAGTTACCTTAAGTTGGTGCCAACAAATAGGCTTCTGCTGAAAGAAAAAAAAACAAACCCAAACGTAAGTAAGCAATTAATGTCAGTATTACTGATGTCAACTGGCTTCACAGAAGAAAGTAATACCAACACAACTAGGGCACCTACCAGGCACTGGTGGGGGACCATGGACACCTAAGGGGACAGGAGGGACCCTCAGTGACTGGCTTGTGGGATCTTGATTCCCAGGCTGGAGGTCAGGCCTGAGCTCCTGTGGTGAGAGCTCCGAGTCCAAACTTCTGGACTAACAGAGAACTTTAGATCCTAGGGAATATCAATCAGAGTGAGGCCTCCCAGAGATCCTCATCTCAGCACCAAGACCTAGCTCTATCCAACTGCCTGCAAACGCCAGTGCTGGAGGTATCGGGCCAAACAACAAGTAAGACAGGAATACAGCACCACCCATCCAAAAAAAAAAAAAAAATGAAATGACAAAAAAATTTGTTACAGACGAAGGAGCAAGGTAAAAACCTACAAGACCAATTAAATGAAGACGAAATACACAACCTACCTGAAAAAGAATTCAGAGTAATGATAGTAAAGATGATCCAAAATCTTGGAAACAGAATGGAGAAAATACAAGAAACATTTAATGAGGATCTAGAAGAACTAAAAAGCAAACAAATAGTGATGAACAACACAATCACTGAAATTAAAAATACTCTAGAAGGAATCAATAACAGAATAACTGAGACACAACAACGGATAAGTGAGCTGGAATATAAAATGGTGGAAATAGCTGCCAGGGAGAAGAATAAAGAAAAAAGAATGAAAAGAATTGAGGACAGTCTCAGAGACCTCTGGGAGAATGTTAAACACACCAACATTCGAATTATAGAGGTCCCAGAAGAAGAAGAGAAAAAGAAAGGGTCTGAGAAAATATTTGAAGAGATTATGTTCAAAAGCTTGCCTAATATGGGAAAGGAAAGAGTCAATCAAGTCCAGGAAGTACAGAGAGTATCATACAGGATAAACCCAAAGAGAAACATGCTGAGACACATATTAATCAACCTATCAAAAATTACATACAAAGAAAACATATTGAAAGCAGCAAGCGTAAAGCAACAAATAACATACAAGAGAATCTCCATAAGGTTAACATCACATTTTTCAGCAGAAACTCTGCAAGCCAGAACAGAGTGGCAGAACATATTTAAAGTGATGAAAGGGAAAAACCTACAACCAAGATTACTCTACCCAGCAAGGATCTCATTCAGATTCAACAGAGAAATTAAAACCTTTACAGACAAGCAAAAGCTAAGAGAATTCAGCACCACCAAACCAGCTTTACAACAAATGCTAAAGGAACTTCTCTATGCAAGAAACACAAGAGAAGAAAAAGACCTACAATAACAAACCCAAAACAATTAAGAAAATGGGAATAGGAACATAAATATCGATAATTACCTTAAATGTAAGTGGACTAAATGCTCCCACCAAAAGACACAGATTGGCTGAATAGATACAAAAACAAGACCCATACATATGCTATGTACAAGAGACCCACTTCAGACCTAGGGGCACATACAGACTGAAAGTGAGGGGAAAAAGATATTCCATGCAAATGGAAATCAAAAGAAAGCTGGAGTAGCAATTCTCATATTAGACAAAATAGAGTTTAAAATAAAGAATATTACTAGAGACAAAGAAGGACACTACATAATGATCAAGGGATCAATCCAAGAAGATATAACAACTGTAAATATTTATGAACCTGACATAGGAGCACCTCAATACAAATGCTAACAGCCATAAAAGGGGAAATTGACACTAACACAATAATGGTGGTAGGGGACTTTAACACCCCACTTTCACCAATGGACAGATCATCCAAAATGAAAATAAATAAGGAAACACAGCTTTAAATGACACATTAAACAAGATGGACTGAATTGATAATTATAAGGCATTCCATCCAAAGCCAAAAGAATACACTTTTTTCTCAAGTGCTCATGGAACATTCTCCAGGATAGACCATATATTGAGTCACAAATCAAGCCTTGGTAAATTTAAGAATATTGAAATCATATCAACTATCTTTTTGAACACAATGCTATGAGACTAGATATCAAGTACAGGAAAAGAAAAACTAAAAAATACAAACAAGTGGAGGTTAAACAATACACTACTAAATAACCAAGAGATCACTGAAGAAATCAAAGAGAAAATCAAAAAATACCTAGAAACAAATGACAATGAAACCACGACGACCGAAAACCTATGGGATGCAGCAAAAGCAGTTCCAAGAGGGAAGTTTATAGCAATGTAATCCTACCTCAAGAAACAAGAAAAATCTCAAATAACCTAACCTTACAGTTAGTGAAAGAAGAACAAAAAAAACAGAAAGCTAGCAGAAGAAAAGAAATCATAAAGATCAGATGAGAAATAACTGAAAAATAATGAAAGAAACAATAGCAAAGATCAATAAAACTAAAAGCTGGTTCTTTGAGAAGATAAATAAAATTGATAAACCATTAGCCAGACTCATCAAGAAAAAAAGGGAGAAGACTCAAATCAATAGAATTAAAAATGAGAAAGGAGAAGTAACAAGTGACACTGCAGAAATACAAAGAATCATGAGAGATTACTACAAGCAACTATGCCAATAAAATGAACAACCTGGAAGAAATGGACAAATTTTAGAAAAGCACAATCTTCTGAGACTGACCCAGGAGGAAATAGGAAATATAAACAGACGAATCCAAGCATTGAAATTGAAACTGTGATTAAAAATCTTCCAACAAACAAAAGCCCAGGACCAGATGGCTTCTCAGGTGAATTCTATCAAACATTTAGAGAAGAGCTAACACCTATCTTTCTCAAACTCTTCCAAAATATAGCAGAGGGAGGAACACAGCCAAACTCATTCTACGAGGCCACAATCACCCTGATCCCAAAACCAGACAAAGATGTCACAAACAAAGAAAACTACAGGCCAATATCTCTGATAAACATAGATGCAAAAGTCCTCAAGAAAATACTAGAAAACAGAATCCAACAGCACATTAAAAGGATTATACACCATGATCAAATGGGGTTTATACCAGGAATGCAAGGGTTCTTCAATATATGCAAATCAATAAATGTGATACACCATATCAACAAATTGAAGGATAAAAACCATACGATAATCTCAAGAGATGCAGAAAAAGCTTTTGACAAAATTCAACACCCACTTATGATAAAAACTCTCCAGAAAGTAGGCATAGAGGGAACCTACCTCAACATAAGAAAGGCCATATATGACAAATCCACAGCCAACATCGTTCTCAATGGTGAAAAACTGAAAGCATTTCCACTAAGATCAGGAACAAGAGAAGGTTGCCCACTTCCAAGTTTTGGAAGTTTCAGCCACAGCAATCAAAGAAGAAAAAGAAATAAAAGGAATCCAAGTTGGAAAAGAAGAAATAAAACTGTCAGTTTGCAGATGACATGATACTATACATAGAGAATCCTAAAGATGCTACCAGAAAACTACTAGAGCTAATCGGTAAATTTGGTAGAGTAGCAGGATACAAAATTAATGCATAGAAATCTATTGCATTCCTATACACTAATGATGAAAAATCTGAAAGAGACATTAAGGAAATACTCCCATTTACCATTGCAACAAAAAGAATAAAATACCTAGGAATAAACCTACCTAAGGAGACAAAAAACTGTATGCAGAAAACTATAAGACACTGATGAAAGAAATTAAAGATGATACAAACAGATGGAGAGATATACTATGTTCTTGGATTGGAAGAATCAACATTGTGAAAATGACTCTACTACCCAAAGCAATCTACAGATTCAATGCAATCCCTGTCAAACTACCAATTGTATTTTTCACAGAATTAGAACAAAAAATTTCACAATTTGTATGGAAACACAAAAGACCCCAAATATGCAAAACAATCTTGAGAAAGAAAAAAGGAGCTGGAGGAATCAGGTTCCCAGAATTCAGACTATACTACAAAGCTACAGTAATCAAGACAGTATGGTACTGGCACAAAAACGGAAATATAGATCAATGGAACAGGATAGAAAGCCCAGAGATAAACCTGCGCACATATGGTCACCTTATCTTTGATAAAGGAGGAAAGAGTGTACAATGGAGAAAAGACAGCCTCTTCAATAAGTGGTGCTGGGAAAACTGGACAGCTACATGTAAAAGAATGAAATTAGAACACTTCCTAATGCCATACACAAAAACAAACTCAAAATGGATTGAAGACCTAAATTAAGACCAAACAGTATAAAACTCTTAGAGGAAAACATAGGCAGAACACTCTATGACATAAATCACAGCAAGATCCTTTTTGACCCACCTCCTAGAGAAATGGAAATAAGAAAAAATAAACAAATAGGACCTAATGAAACTTAAAAGCTTTTTCACAGCAAAGGAAACCATAAAACAAGATGAAAAGACAACCCTCAGAATGCGAGAAAATATTTGCAAATGAATCAACCGACAAAGGATTAATCTCCAAAATATACAAGTAGCTCATGTAGCTCAATATCAAGAAAACAAACAACCTAATCCAAAAATGGGTAGAAGACCTAAGTAGACATTTCTCCAAAGAAGATATACAGATTGCTAACAAACACATGAAAAGATGCTCAACATCACTAATTATGAGAGAAATGCAAATCAAATCTACAATGAGGTATCACCTCATACCGGTCAGAATGGCCATCATCAAAAAATTTACAAACAATAAAAGCCGGAGAGGGTGTGGAGAAAAGGGAACCCTCTTGCACTGTTGGTGGGATTGTAAATTGGTACAGCCACTATGGAGAACAGTATGGAGGTTTCTTAAAAAACTAAAAATAGAACTACCATATGACCCAGCAATCCCACTACTGGGCATATACCCTGAGAAAACCATAATTCAAAAAGAGTCATGTACCACAATATTCACTGCAGCACTATTTACAATAGCCAGGACATGGAAGCAATCTAAGTGTCTATCAACAGATGAATGGATAAAGAAGATGTGGCACATATATACA